GGGACTTCATCTGAAAAGGTTTACACAGAGTTGATAAGGAAAAACATTTTAAGAGTAACAGCAAATGAAAATCAACTATGTCACCAAAATATTTTGTCATTTGCTAGATTTAATCAGTAATGTCAGGTTTTTTTTAATAAGAAGTACAAAAGTAACTCTTATACTTCTGCATAAAAATGGTCACGAGTGGTGAAGGCTAGACAAGATGCCAACAAGAGCTGAATAAGCTATACCACTCTGCTTATGGTATAAATGTCAATGGGCTATGAACATGCTTGGTTGATTTGACAGAGCACAATAGTTCAGAATAATTCATACTGCCAAACTCTAAAACATTATTTGCACAACCAAACACGTGCGTTCTGCCATGAATTATTTGCATGGTAATTCACCTTCTCCTCCTTCCTCTTCTCCTTGTGCTTGTCCTTGTATTTGTCTGTGCTGCCATCTTTGTGCTTCATCTTTTCCTTCTCCTTGTCTCTGTGTTTTTTGTCAGAGGAGTCCTTGTAATCGCTGGGTTAAAAAAAAAAAAGGAAAAAAAAGAAAGAATTATTAATTTTGGTGGTTCCAGCTTCCACTACACAATGCACAAAATACATCAGTAATAAGTGGTACGTCTTGTCAATTTTGAAAGGCTACCACAAGAAATATTCATCTATGAAAAGTCTGGAAGCACACACACCATACCTGTTGCCATGCTTTGATTTCTCCCGTTCCTTATCCTTCTTGTGGTCCTTATGTTTGTGTTCCTTGTCTTTATACTTGTCTTTATGCTTGTGAGAGTCTGAGAAGAAAACACTGTCAACTTATTCAAGTGTCAACCAAATACTGACTCAATTCAAACCAACAATGGATTGGATAAATGGTAGGATTGTTGTGTGCCAAGTATGATCAGTATGAATCTATACACAAGTGGCAGCAAACAAAGTGCTCTCCCTCAACCAGGTGTTAGTGTGGACATGCCAAGAAAGGCAATAATCTTAACCACTGGCCACCTAGGAAGCACTCAATGTCCACCCATATACAACACAAAAAAGAACATGAATTAAAATTGCTACAAACAAGGTCTGAACATGCATCACAATCTAAATGTCATGCAGTGTGGAAACTACACAGTAGCACAGCACCACCTACTGCCCGTATGAGTCTCATTGTTTATGAGACAATATGAAACCCACAGGTTGAAACATGCATGTCAACAACGTAGGCTTTCACCCTCTCTTCAAAGGCTATCAAAATTAAAGAGCTGACACCCAAACTTCGCCATCAACAAACACTAAATAAAGTCTGTGATTAGGGGGGCTCAAGGCTTTAGACAAGCAGAGCTGACAGCTAACAGCCTAGTCTACTCACAGGCCCTAAAACAAGTTATCCATATTCCTCTAGTATGCCACTGTAGGACAAACAAACAGCTCACATGTTCAACCTGAATAAGTCTGATCAATGAGTGATTGTGAAACCCAAAACAGATTTGGAGCATTGCTTTGATTGTTCCATTTCTCACTGTAAAACTAGTTGTCTTTGTTTATCCATTTTTTGAAGATGACAGATTTTATTTGAGCTGTCCTCTCAGATCTAAGCCAAATCACTGTGTGATACGTTTCAATGAACAGGGCCCTTCGTGCTCCATCACATCAGTCAGGACAAACTAGAGCGCATATTTGACAGACTTTTGGTTAAGACTGCACTTCACAGCTGACAGAAGTAATACACAAGTTCAGAATATGCAACTTATGTGACTGACTGGCAAAAAAGTGTCCAGAATGTTAACATAAAATATAATGTGATGTTGGGATGATGTGAAACTGTTTGCAGGGGTCGTGTTGCTTCTGAACCACGCCAGATGTTTTTTCTAAAGAAACAACCTCACCTGGTAAATTTTAAAAGTAAAAGGAATGACCCTTTGTGTCTTACTGGTTATAAATGATGTGAAGTAGACTGAGAGTTTAGTTCTACAGTCTAGACCATTTTTAACAATATGGATGCACAGTCATGTCAAACTCAGATCAATACTAATCTGTGTGGTTGCTAGATTATTTTATAAGTAGTGTGTAACATTTGAGATTGTGTCCAGGTGGTTTGGTGTATCTAAAAAAAAAAAGGAAAGGTCAGTCCTGTTTAACAGACTCAAAAATCCAGTTTCCTTGTTATTGATATGCATGTTGTGCTCTGATATAGGTTTATAGTGCATAAATAGACAAACAATAATGGCATGAAAAACTCCAAAGGTGTGTCTTCTTCTTCAGATATTATCAAAGACCCTCTAATATCAATACCTTGAGTAACTTACAATGCCATGATAAATTGAAGTTGATGACTTGATGTGCTGCCTGTTGAAATGTGGATCCAACTTAACATTCCCACATGCTAGGGGGAAATAATGGACCATTTTTAAGTTCCTGTAGCTATATATTAAAAAAAAACTAACTATGAAAAAGCATTTAAGGCCGTGTATAAAAAAATTAAAACTGCTCTTGGTCACCACATGGGATCTTAATGAAGCACTATGCCTCCGACTCTCTCCTCCACACAGCCATCTGCACTTCACAGCCTGGGTTCAGCTTGCAGTACAGTCAGGCCGCTACACCGAAAAAGAAAATGGCGCAGAGACTAAGTCCTCAACCCCCAAACCCTCACTTTCAGGTGGGAAATTTGGTATTAAAAGCTAACCAACTAGATATTTTATTACGATAAACTAATAAAACACCTCCAGGTGTGTGCCAATAAGGCTTCGAATCGAGAAAATGACTTGCGGAAAAGCTTTTATTAGACCTCCCTTTTGAACAATAGGCGCTTGTGAGTGAGACAGCGGACTTAGTCTCTGGACGCCATTTCTGTCCTCTACTGAGAACTAACGCAGCGCTACATACGATCAGTGAAGATGTGTCAGAAAGAAAACCCTCCTGGAAACTTGTTACCCTCATATCGTAAACTTACCATTGAACCGAGAGCCACCGTCAACCTGAAACATCAAAAACAGATGAATGTTAAATATCGTAGTAGCTAACTAGCCGGCTAACTAACTTTGAACTTGCTGGATAGCAAAGCGAGTTTGTTAGCTAGCTACAGCTAGCCGGCTAGGCTAGGCTAGGCTAGTTAGCTCCTGTGTCTGGTAACATGGCTTCAGTGGCTGATACTGACGCTGCTGCGGCTAACAGCGGCTACAGCTAGCACCAAATTAAATGTAGCTTTGCCCCACTTTGTAAAGGACTTCATGCGCAGCCACACAAACCTGGAAACTAACCAGGCATCAACTCCCCGTAACATTACAAATTAAGATGTGATGAAACGTGTCTTAACGCTGTTAACAACAGAATGAGTCGGCTAACGCGCGCTAGCCAAGTTACCTTGTCAAACCAAGCAAATAAAACGGTGGCGAGACACTGTACCGGTTAACCACCAGTGGTGACATTACAAACTAGATTTTACTTCACCTGGTTCTCGCTGTGGGAATGGTCCCCACTCATTTCCCAAGCGTTGTTTGATTGGAAAATCAAAAAGAGAAGCGTGTAAGGTTAACACACACCGGCGAGGAGATGCAGGCAGAATGAAGAAAAGACACGGTTGTGTAAGAGATAAAGTCCCAATTGTACACTAATACGCATGCGCCTCAATTTAAATGGTACAGAGCCGTGTAGCTCCTCCTCTTCCCAGAACGTGTTGCTCTCCAGAGCCACGATGGTCACAGTCCTGAGTGAGCATGTATATACATCCAGGGGGTCCACATGTACCAGGAGCACTGGCTGCTCTAGGCCCAGTTTATTGTTTGTATTCACTTGGACTGATAATTGACTGAGATATCTCTTTGTATATAGCAATACTAATAACAAGTATGTGTTATAAAGTATTTCTGATTCAGTATACGTTGGTTTCAATGTACACAGTTCCAAGAACATTTTTCAGGACGACAGATGTCCAAAACAGTGTGTATTTCCACTATAGAATACTGTATATAATTATAATGTCTGAACCAGGTCACAGTCTGTTCTTTCAGAGATACGCTCACTCACCTTTCTGTCATTTAGTGCATATGCATATCAAGTTATACGTCTCAGTTTGTCTAATGTCATACCCAAAACAGATTAGAGACATTAGAAGAAATTTGACATACATGTTAGTTGAGTAAGCTTAGGGGTCCTTCGAGGCCATGGTATGGTGTTGTGCTTTAAATTATTTAAAAAATGGTGTAGGCCAGAATGTGTGGCATGTAAACAGACAGGAGCACGTCCTACCCCACACAACCTTGTGAGCCAACAGGCCTATCACATAACATCTCAGAGGTAAAGAGGTCCAGACTATTTGATGAGTAAACTGAAAGTTGAAGAAATGGTTCAGAATATTATCATAACCACTTGAAATATCCTAAAAAGTAGATTTTATTCTTATAGCAACTGGTATTAATAATCCTCTTTAGATAACAGATAATATGCAGTGATTTTCATTGGGATCACCAAGCTAGTTGACAGATGACAAGTAAACAACTGTAAATTTAATCTGAATACAGGACATTTAAAAAAGTATTTTAAAATGAGTTTGATATGCTATTATGACATTTTTAAGTCAGCACTATTTCTGAAAGTTTTTCATCAACATCCCCTCAGAGGTTATGAAAATAATGTACATACTAGTGTGGCCTCATGGACCTGCATACATCCTGGCAAAAAGAACTGTTTCTCAATTAGGGATGAATGGAACTTGGATTTCATTTTTAAACTAATCTTTGTCCACAAGAGGGCATTGCAGTCCATATTGTCTAATAGGATTCACAACCCCTCACAGAACATCAGAGCACTACTGTCACTGCAGACTCACAAGATTTAGTTGAGTCTTTTTACTTAAAAAGATTTTAGATGTAGTTGATTGAACAGATCAAAATGTATTATTACACATTCTATGTGTATACATGGAGTGTATATGATCTGGGAGGCTTCAGCTTTAGGTCACAACTCAGAATCTAAAGTTAAAATCATGCAACACCACACAGAAGTGTTTGAGTGAACTTTATTCTTATGACTTTCTTGCCTGTTATTTGGTAAATTAAAGTTCAAGTCATGAGAATCACCAACATGCTACAATTTCCTTTAAAAATCTCAGTATAAATACTCAGTATATAACCAGAATGACGTTCAAGAGATAAAGAAGTCTTTTACTGCCTGTTCTTTGTCTCCTCACACATCAGCTTTGACTGAGATCATTCAAAGTCAAACTTGTTTTAACTACAATATTGTTTTGCATCTGTTCCAGTTCCTGCTGTTTGGATGCAATAACAAACACAGAATTTTGCTGATTAAGCTGAGATGCAAGGTTATTAAGGCACTGTTATGGGAACGTTGTGTCCTCGTCCTCACATTCGTTTAAGACTCCTGGCTTGGCTTTGAAAGTGGCTTTGCAGGGTTCTGGTATAAAAACATGTAGGAGTCACACAGCAGTCTGCGCACTAGTTCAGGGGCCTGGGAGGGGTTCGCCCGAGCCAGCTCCTCCTCTGGCTGGGACAGGAAGTCACCCAGCTCCGGACAAGCTCGGATCTCAGGAATGTTGTAACCACATTGATCGTCACCTATAAGGAAGAGTGGCCTTAAGATTAGACATCAGCTCAAGAAGAGATAAAGGCCAGTCATAGACGTCATAGTGAGACTTTATCTAATACTGTCGAGGCTGTATTATCTGAAAATAAGGCAGTCATGGGTAACCAAAACAAAACAAGTTGAGTTTGCACGAACATCAGAATAAAATTAAGTTGTTTGGCAAGTCTATCATCCCACTAATGAAAGAATTGTCGTTCAAGCCAAGAAACTTCAATTAATTGACAAAAATAAAACAAGTCTATTTTACCACATCTGTCTGCCATGCTGTCAAAGAAAAGCCATGAGTGAGGATCAGGACCATATTTGACAAAGGACACATAGTGGCTGGTTTGAATGCAGAGCACAGCGAACAGCTGCATCATGTGCCTGGGCACAGGAGTATCAGAGGCTACATCTGCTGGTACTGCCAGAGCTTTGGGGGAGTGACCCTGCCGGGACTGATGGGCGTGCACCTTAAAGAAAAATAGAAAGTTTGACAAAAGTTTGACAAAAGTTTGATCAGTGGGAAACATGATCTTTAAAAAATAAATAAATAAATAAATAAATAAATAAATAAAACCAACCTGTGTGTTGCAAGTCGTGCAATACTGTTTGATCCTCCCTGGCTGCAGTTTGCGATCTGGTAGACACTGAAGACACTCGTACTCTGCCAAATGCCCACAGATGAAGCATTCCCTTGGAGCTAATGGTTAAAGTAGGTAAACCATAAGCATCTTTAAGCTCTTCGAAGACACTGTATTAAAAATATGTATTCCATTCTCATCCTATATTTAAATTAGTGCTGATCATGTCTGCTACTCACAGTTGTATAGAAGATCTGTGATGTCAAGCTCGGTGGAAGGAATAATGTGAGAAAACATCTTATACTTGTTTCCAAACCTTGGCATCTGAACCATGAGACAGGACGGCGTCTGAGACATATAGGAAAGCCAATATTGGGGTTACATGATTCTACAGAGGAAGACTTGATAGGCTTCTTTTTCCTTTAAAAAATGGAGGACCATGTGCTCACCTCTTCAAACTTGAGGTCACCTGACAGGCAGGATGTGTCCAGCAGCTGTTGGACGTTGGGCAACTGTCCCATCTGTTCTTTTTCCAGAAAAATCTGGAAGGTGTAGGCACCCTGAGACATTTCTTCTCTTGATCTATAAAGAAACAGAATTTAAGTAACTCAACTTTATACAGTCAAACAGAAAAGGATATTTAATGGCGAGTGGCTCAGGATCTTACCTGAGCTTGAGCAGCGGCTCCACGCAAAGCACCTTCTGAAAGAGGACTGTGATTAACTCCTCTGGGTCTGCAGTGAAGCAAAGCAATTAAAAATGTGTAGAACAATAACACTGGACTCTGCTATGTTATGTTGCAGTGACTAAGGCTCTAACACTGAAATACATTTTTAACAATGCATGTCACAGATATGGGTGTGTACCTTTTTCCTCTGTTCGGAAGGTGTCGCAGCCAAGCTGTTTGCGGAAATTCATCACACTCTCAGCAGGCACAAACCCTTGTCTGCAATAAATACATCAGCTATTAGTGAGCAAACAAAACCTCACACTCTCTCTAACACACACAACTAACTGCATACAACAAAACAAGAGTAAACATTAAGACACACCTTCTTATGCAAGTAAGTTTTAAGCATACTGGTATGTCCTTTTGTTAGCTAGTGAATACAGAGTACCCTTTTTATTCAGCAAAATAGTACTTGTTTACCAGATGAGATTATGTACAATGTCATAATGTTCCTGTTTTACAAGCTAAATGATAATACAAGGCGTTAGAAAAACAAACTTGTCTTGAGCACCGTGTTATACCTGCGTAAACGGTTGAGTATTTTTCTAAGACAGCAGTTTATGGTTTGTTCTGTGTCAGCAGGCTTCTGGCAGATATTATCCAGGGTCACGGAGGAGCTGAACAAACTGAAAAAAGAAAAACCACATTGTTTTATCAGCTCAGCACTTAAATATAGCTCACCATGCTCATTTAGTTGTACGTGATCTCCTCTAAATAAAATCACTGATGTTAAAGTAAATTTGAGCCAAGATTGCAACATACTATACTACGATACTTGAGAATTAAATGCCCCAAGGAGTGGGGAACTGGTTCTACCTGAAGAGTGTGGCATCAAGGTAACAGGAGTTGATGTGACCCTGAATCCCTTTCATTCTTCCCACTAACAAAGACAAGGCCTCTGATTCAGGGATAGGTGGAGCATCCTCCTCAGAGTCCTCAAATGGAGGAACTGAAAACCGCAAGCAAACATACAAAAACAAATTCCCATCAGATCATTTAAAAACAGACCTCATCATTTCACTTGTAGCTTTAATCAGACATCCTGCTGCAGTTTCTCTGCTTAAACACTGTCAGCCACACAGGCCTTCAAGGACAATGATTAATTTGCTTTACTGAAGCAGGAAGTTCACAGGAGTGTCAGACATGTTCCACTGATAAAAAAAAAATAAATAAAAAAAACAAATTGTCACAGAGTGTACATTGTTCCAGGTGTCATTGAAATGATGTCTCTGCCAGAGGCAGAAAGGTGTGTTTTTTTTTTTTTTTTGTTTTTAAATATATAAATTGTGTACAACTCTACTGTAATGGCAAGTAGAAACTGATTCAGTGAGATCAGTTGAAGAGAGGAATGACAAACATCCACTCCTAAAGTTTTATGTGATACTACAGAATACTGGCACCCTGATCAAAAGTTCAAAGTTTGAAAAACAAACCTGTACAGCATTTTAGTTTTGTGCATAGTACACAGTCCACAAACTATTGAGGATGTAAAGTTACATTTTACATTTATTTTGTACATAAAATATAACAGGTTGAAAAAAATAATAATTATAAACAGATATTGTTTATCAAACATGTGAAATGTGTATATTTGAATTGCATGTGTACATGTTCCCCAGCAAAGCAGTCAAAAGTCTAACCTGCAGGTGTTTCGGTGGGTTTGGTGGTCTCCCTTCCTGTAGAGGAGCAGACGAACCTGCTATCAGGGCTGCACTTTGTGACTGGAACAAACAACGCCCGGTTCCCTTTGCAGGTGAAATATCTCTGGCTTCTGTACTTCCCATCAGAGCAGCCGTTCACCTCGTAGTCCTGAAATAATGAAAACCAAAATCACATATGAAGCGTCTTTGATGCCTAAAGCAGACAGAAACTGTTACTGTGCAGCATTTCAGTCACTCACCAATTCAATACCAGCCCATTCATCTGTCTTCCCACCGGGGACCCCCAACCACCGGACCACCCCGTACACTGTGATCCCCGAGTTGGACACCACCTCCACCAAGGATCCCACCTCCAGATGCACATGAGCCGTGCTTGGACTTTGGCTCTGAATGACACTCTGCTCCGTGGGGTTCTCCCTCACTTGTCGTGCACGAGAGCCGATATTTGGCATGGAGTTGATGCGTGTCACCGCCTTGCGGTTTAGACCTGTGGTGAGGTAGGGAGGCCAAGGTCAGAAAGTCACAAGACATTTTTTTTGTGTCTTGTCACATGCTGCATCATCAGACATATGAGGTATGTAGACAGCTCAGAGTGCACAATGTGCAAAAACGCCAGAGCATTTGATGTTTGGCATTCCAGAGCAACAGGACCAGTTTTTCCAGTTGGGGACTGCTTTTTGTTTGCCCCCTCTGAAAATCACATGTGCTTTCTAACAACTTTCAATGGCAGGATATAATTCACTGATTAGAGGGGGAGGGGGTGGAGATTACCTTAGAACCAAAACATTTGGTTTGATTTTTAAAAAAGGGATTTAGTTTTATAAACTCAACAACATCCCCACCAAGTATCTAGTGATTCAGAAATATCCAATCTTGACTTTGAAAGAGGCAAGCTGGGACTTTGAACTCTTTACTTACTCCCATATTGGCCATCTTTCCAGTGCAGTCCGAGGGGAGTGGAGTAAGATGGGACCACCTGGATGATCTCTGCAGCACTAAACAGGGGCAGAGGAGCAGGTTTCTTGGATGACAAGTTGTGATCATTGTCCTACAAGGAATACAAAGAAGGCAGACATGTTACAGAATGCAGATACTGATGACATGTGAGTTATATATCCCTCTGGCAATCTTGTGACTGATAACTTTGCCCACACAGAGACACAAATCATTGGAGATGGTCATGCTCGCCTCAGTGCATTTCTTGAGATTATATTAGTGCGCATCCACATTGTGTAACTTCAGAGAAACCGGATATTAACAGTGTGCCAGCTACCCTGGTCTTTATCTCACACTTTGATGCAGCAAATAATAAACCAGACAAACAACTTTACCCACCACAAATTCCACCTCAAAGCCAAGCATGTGCAGGTCGTCTTTGTTCTCCTTCCTCCCAATTTGCATGAGGTTCTTCACCAGTCCGGGAAGATGTCCCTTCTTGTGCTTCACTACAACCAGGTCTTCCTGAGACAGCTCGCAGATGGCCGAGAACAGCTGGGGGTTACACAGCAGCTCCAGGCGTTTGCTTGCGGGGGAAACGAAGAGCAGAAGCTGGGCCTGGTGGCGGGTCAGAGGGTAGGTGTCCTCCCTCCGCACGATGCCTCCGCTCTTGGGCGTCCCCGCGTTGCTGCCGCCGCAGTACAGCAGCCCCATCAGCTCCCCGCGCTGCGTCTCTGCCTCCACACGGCCGATACATCCGCGGCAGAAGCCTTTCCTCGACTTCCCGCGTAGCACAATGAAAAACTTCTCCTTTACTACGGTTCTGGACTCCATTAAAACCGCGTATGTCCACCAGTATATATTTATAGTGTGTTAACAGCGTTGAAGCAGGTTATTGTGCTTATAGAAGCAGTTAACCTGTAGAAACACAACAGGAGTACTTTATTACATTGTGGCCTAACAACACCTCCTGGCTCACTTATGGCTGCTTAATTACAACGTTGGGAGAAAATAAATTACACACGAATGTCGAATAAATAAATAATAATAAAAAACCATGTTTAACAGCACTAACCATGGCACAAACATTAGCAATACTGGACTAATTGTAAACAAGACCTGCAAGAGCTAAGATGAAAATAGGATCCAGCAAACAAACTGAGCTCCTCTGTAACACATTCCTAATCATTAACATTCATTGTAGACTTAGTTTAGCCTTTGAAACACACACACTGCTGCTTACTTACTGTTTTTATTTGTCAGAACAATTACTCCGCGACAGGTCACTCCATTATTACTATATGGATGAATTAGTCTCAAAAGCAGGTGGGTCGCTAGATATCCTCCTCCTCTTTACCTCTGCTGAGCAGCTGAGACAACCTGCAGGCATTTAAATACTGACCTGCATGTGACCGACAACGCCCACATGGCAGCTCCCGACGTCTCCGCCCCAAAACTGCCCTCGCAACCACATTTCCGCAACAACACATGACTGGAGATTAAATAAGAACACGGAGGAAAATGCTGACTGGATCTTTCAAGTGGCTGCTCATCTGTCTGTTAATATATATCTGTATATGATATGATGGACAATGCAGAGATAACCAGTAAACTCACTCAGGTCTGTGTGCAACAAGTGGCCCAACAATGTGTTTCAGCATGAAGTTTACATTAAATGTATTCTGCGTCAACAAAGCTCAACATTTTCTTCACTGTGGGTTTATTTAGGGCAGTGCATATAGATTTAAGCTGTCCTGTGTGAATATCTGTCTGCACTGTGTATTACTGATGTACTAAGAACAGAGCGTAGCTACATATAGATTTATACATTTATGAATATGTAAAGTTTGTTCATTTCTGAAGTTTGCCTGCTGGATACAAAATGTCTATTCTTAGTGAATGTGCACTGGTGCCTTCAAGTTTCTACATCCCACTGTAGAAGTTGCATACTGGACCAGGGTTGACTATTTGTGATGTAACAAATCATGCTCGTAGGCCTCGCCCTTAAAATCTGATTTTCAATGAGCACAGATGAACTTTCCACTTTCAGCAGATGAATGTGAAAACATCCTTCTAAAGAAGATCACACTGTTGGGACAAGAAGAAAAACTGTTTCTGAATGAAGGGGGGCTGGATAAAAACTCATTTGATTTGATGAAGAGAACAAGTCTCCATTTTCTGCTTGCTGAGGTGTCATTATCATCTTAATAACCACACAGGGAGGTCACCACGTCCTGATTGCTAGAATATTACTCCCTAGTTGCTCCAAAAACAGTGACAACACATATTGAGTCAGGTGTTTAAGGTAACTAGCGGCTAAAGTGCAACCTCTTGAGTGACATGTTTGTCTGCATGCAGACGTAACACGCAAGACAAATCCTACCCTGTGATGCTTTTGTTTGTAAGAATGTTGATGGTATCTCGACTGTATATCAGCTTTTACATAATAGTCAACATAAAACCTGTCTTTGTTCTTGTTCTTTACATAAAAAATGACTTAGAAAAATCAGATTAGAGCTCAAGTGTAAAGTGGTTAGACAGTTCATATGAACAATTTTATCTTTAATAGATAGTACTTGTAGGCGGACTGCCCTCTGTCGGCTGGTGGTTACAATAATAGAAGAGAATCAAACACTGGAGAATAACAACCATAAACTTACATCATACAGTGCAACAACAGTGTATCCAGATACTACCATTTTATGATGTGTGGAAGATATGTATGAAAAGGTTTGTGAGATCAATCCAGCTATAATAAACTGTCAGATAAATGCGGTAGGGTTATGGCTGTAATGGTATCTTTGTTCCTCAGGACGCCCTGGACAGCAGAGTTGGTCTTCACTCTTTGAACTTTGGGGCTGCTTTCATGCAGAAACTCCACACTCTCTTCTGGAAACTCAGCTGATGATTGGGAAAGGAAGACATTACTGATATTAAAATATGACTAATGCAGAATAAAGGCAAAGGTCAAATGCTGAATAGTGTTTCATACGAACAGTCAACAAAAGGTCTCTTTGGCTGAAATCTTCTCAGAGACAGGCTGTCATTTTTCTCTTTATGGAAGGACAGCACACTGATCAACACCTGAAGCACAACAACGTGTAAATGTTAAAGAGCCAAACATATTCCAGTGAATCAGAATCCAAACCTTTATAATGTAAAGTGATCAAACCTGGGTGATCACACTCAAACTCTGCTGTCCACCTGAACTGCTCAGTGCTGTGTAGATCCCACATTCATGCCACGCTGGCATCATTATTGTGGGCATGAGCAATGATAGGGGCCTCTTTCCTGGCTGAACTCTATTTTTCTTTAACACAGATGGAAAACAGCAAGAAATATTTAAAACAATACTTTGTAACTGTCTTATTTTATTGGGTGAGGTTTGTAATGGTAACGCACCTGGTTGGTTAAGAATTGCCCTCGGGTTTTGTTTGGCCAGGAGAAGTCAAGGATGAGGCTGTTGAGGATAATGCCTGACCGAGTTATGACTCTGCTCCCAAATGGACCGCTCAAGGAACTGAGAGATAATAAAGACAAGAGATAAGATAAAAAAAAATGTCAGTATGCCCAGAAGCACATACCAACCATATCCTCCTGGTGCGATCATTTATGTCAGAGTGTAGGCAGTGACTCCTTCACCTTGCTACTGACACCATGAGGTCATCGGGTCCCATGACTACTACTTGTCCAGCCATCACTTCTGTCTGCAGGGAGTGGACAGCGGAGGAATCGATCCTCTGGTGGAGCACTTGACTCTTACTTTAGCAAGAGCAAAGAGAAAATTAACAGGAAATGCTTGATGTAATGATTAGTCAGTTTGGTGCTGTAACACCGAAATATATAGCTGGTTCCAGCTCGTCAGATGTAAGGATATGCTGCTTTTCTTCCCTTTCTGTCATATGTCAGTAAACTCTGGGGTTTTAGACTTTTGGTGTGATAAAACAAGACATTGGAAGTCTTCATCCAGGGCTCTGAGTATAATGAGAATTTCTCACACTTTTTTACTTTTCATGGACAAAACAATTTATCAGTTAATCAAGATAAAAATAGTATAATTAATCACTAATGAAAATTGTTTAGTTGCAGCCCTCTTCCTCAGTGTAGGTGAGGTGTGTATTACCTCAGCATGTCAGAGAGCAGCTCAGTCACTGAAGAGTTAAATCTAGGGTCACCCAAACCACTGGCCATAGCCAAAGCTGCTTTCAGAGCCTTAAAAGGGAGAAACCTTTTATTAAAAGTGCTGGGTTACCATTTTAACATAAATAAACACTGATACTTTACATACTTTACAGCTTTACAATCCAGTACCTGAGCAATCCAGTGGTATGTCTGGTTTTCTGTGTTGTTGTTCTCATTGAGATGGAAGCCCTGCAAAAGCCTGAGCGCTGATATCAACACTGCACCAGCAGATGGGGGAGGAGGAACCTGAATAATAAATTCTGAGACAAGAGTTACACAATATGAAGGTATCGAGAATATATGCAATTTTTTCAGTGTATTGTTGAACAAATTGTTTACCATTGTACAGGCCTTCCACTGGCTGCTCCACCTGCACACTGTAGTTACTGATGTCGTCTCTGCTCAGGACCCCTCCATTAACTCGCACCTTTGTATGAAAACACAGATCACTGAAAATTGAAATATTGTAGTTGTTAAACCCAGAACACAAGCAAATTTCACCCAATTGTTTTGCCCATGAATACCAGGCCCATTTCTTGTGTAATGTCATTCACCTCGTCCTCCATCTCTTGTGAGAAGTTCCCATCATAGAAGTTCGATAGGCCAGCCTCCACGACTCCAGCCAGACTTGGCATCCTCAGAAATGAACCAGGATGCAGAGCTTGTCCATTCGGGAAGAACATGTCCCTGAAACGCTGCGAGAGCTGCTCACCTTTTACCTTCGATACAGCCTCAGCTGTGGAATTACACATCTGAGTCACATGCTGGTACAGACAACATCATCAGGTTATATGGTGTGCAAGTGGTTACATTTGACTCACCAAGACTGTAAGACACATTGAAACCTTCTCTGGCAACAGCGGTGGCTCGAGTGACCACATCCTCCCAGGATAGACTGCAGAGATTTTGTAGTAAGATGTGTTTGACTTTAGGTAGAAAGAAAGAACAAAGACTAAACACCAGATACATTTCACTTCATCTAAAGTCTTTTACCTCCCATAGAGGCTGTGAGCATGGTGTAACCCTCTGAGCATACCTGGCACACCCACTTGCAGACCTGCCTGAATAGATAAAGTAGATGCTAAATAACAAATAATCAAAATGATGAATGGTGGCCCCCTCTCCACCTTTATATTACCTTTAGTTCTGAAACATTTTGCAGCATCTCCTCTTTAAGTGTTTTAGGTGCCGTTCCCTGAAAATTGATCACCCTGGTTTCATTCTTATGGATGTCATGAACCAGCATCACCCCACCTCTACAGAAAGAGAATGAGAAATGGATGAGTTTGTGATCAGACACTTATATTTTACACTAAGCATGTTACTAAGAAGTCTGTCACATACCCACCAACACCGGACTCATGTGGATGCACAACACCCAAACACAGGGCGGCAGTAACGGCTGCATCCACACTGGATCCATGATCATGAAGGACTCTCATACCAAGTGCAGTGCAGCGCTCGTGATCTGACACCAACACACCTTTTACAACTACCTGAGAAGAAACTGTAAATGAGAAGAAATAATGCAGTTGTGGTATTTACTTGCATATGTTACATGGCATGACATACCAAACTTCTTCCCCCCATGTAAATATGCAGGATCAGAGCAATAGCCACTCCAATGGCAAAGGTGATAGATACAACATAGACAGGTATGAGTGTGTCCTGACTGGAGCAGTCCTTGTCTTTCTCTTTGACGTCTGTACGGCTTCCGACTAACACATTTGGGCTACCAGAGACCAGCTGTTTAAGAGGAATCTCCTTTGGGAGATGGCTGAGATCTGCGGCATGAAACAAAATGTTGATATGTTTTAGATTTGCAAAGTCATTTAATTATTTTCTCCCCAGATCCTGTCCGTTTCTCCTTTGACTTCTAATCAAGTGATTTACACCTACAATGTTGAAGGTGTAAATGAGTAGAGGTGAAATGCATTTACAATATTATCTGTATTCTCTCACCTCGGTTTTTATTCAAGCCACAGCTGAAGTCAGTTGGTGATGAACCAGCAACGCTTTTGTAACTTAAAGTTAACTGCTGGTTAAGTTTTGTTTCAGGTGAAACATCCATCCTCACTGTATTCACTCAAGGAGTAAGTTAATTCAGGAACACAACACACCTCCTTATTGTAAAAGTCTATGAACTTCCCTCAGTTTAACTAGTAATTAAACACAGCAGGTGCAATTACCTCCCAACCAATCAGATCTCAGCATCTGTCAAACTGAGCAGTTCAATGTCATTTGGACATTAGAATTTGACTAATACATGAAAACACAAGCTGCAATGTCATAGTTTTTATTGTCGTATAAAAAAAGGTTTTCAACCAAGTACATAGAGGTAAATGCATGTCAATACACAAATCACGTCACTTTGTCAGAAATGTTACAGGATACATTTTGCATAGGCTGCACTTTTCTCTCATCCACATCATATCACATGCACACAAACAAGAAAACATGGTGTATCTCATTTCATGAGGCGGACGTCTTCATTCCAAATTCATATACAGTACGAGTTATAATGTAGCTGCCTACTACCTTGTAAGAGTTGTCAAGTGTTACATTTATTTAGCTTAAATCTGCACAAAACTAAACTGTGTGTATTGTAGTATGTGTTTAATAGTATTATAATAATGATGTATTTCCTGGTTAACATTTGCCGTCAAGCCTCAATGGCTGAGGTTGCGATGTCCCGGCTGTTGGAGGTGGAAGGAGTGATGTTGGACTCCTTGGCGGACGCGGTTCTGGCGCTGGATGGCGTTACGAGTCATGTGGTGTCGGTCTGTCCAGGCCTTAGCCTTCTGGGTGCAGGCTAACTGAGTCACTTCCAACAAAGCTTTAGGCTGAGAAACTGAGCCTGTGATCTCTCGACTGGTGGCGATGCTGCTTTGAACTGTGGGCTCTGGATCCAACACACTGGAGAGGAACACAAGCAAGTATGTGAATCTAACAGGCTTAAGAGAATCAGTATTTACTGTGAAATGGGATTAGAATGAAGTTGTGTCTTAATTGCAAAGTCTGAAATGGTATCTGTTTAAAAATTCCTTAATATTCAAAAATTCTGCATGTGGCCCCAGAGGATTCCTCCTGCTCCCTCACCTGCTGTCATTGTCCATGTTTGCGATTGTGTCTCCATGAGGAGCAGAGTTTGATGGTTGGGTGTCAGTCAGCTCTGCACTATGGCTCTCTGCCTCTGTGGACACAAAATGGAGTTTTGTTATATAATTGAGCAACAATTCAATATACAGTAGGTATAGTAAGCAATTGTGTAGCTAAATGAATAACAGGTTAATCACTGAAATCAAACAAAATGACATATGAGGTGTACGGGATGTTAAAGGACACATCTCATTCTTTGTGTTTGTTTAATTGTTTGGCTCAGTTGGCCTAAAGGCAACTCCATTCTGAAGACCTTATCGTGGTATCACATTTGACATCACCATGAAGTTAAGTGAACATTAATAGGATCACTTAGCATGATTTTGTCCGAATAATTATGGAATTATGAATAATTTGAATAATATGAATACATTTCAAACCACACTGCAGGTGCCCCACTTTGTCACTCATCAACATGGACAGCAGTGTCAGATTAAAGTTGTAAAGATGAAAACACCCAAATAATACACAAAATATGACTGTTTACATTAGTAATACTCTATATTTTATGTATATATTGTTACAATACATATGTTTTAAATATAAGAACAAAATACTCCATGACTGACCTTGATGACTGACTACAAGCCACCCTTCTTCCACCACTTCTCCAGACTTGACATCCTTGGGGGTCTCCTCCTCTCCCCCAAAAAGCAGCCGGGTGATTGTTTTGAACATCGTCTTTGTCTTCTCTTGAGGTTTTGTTGTTTGTTGTCCCCTTCCTTCCTTACTTTCCTTCTTTGTTAAGCAGGAAGCTCAGGTGTTGCAAGTATTTATCTGTTAAAGAAAAGAAGAATACTGGCTCATAATAGAGTCATATACATGTTCATACCTTGATGTAATGATAACTCTGATGCCAGAGACCCTTCTTCCGTTATTATTTTTCAAAATTCAAGCAAACTGGGTCAGCTGACGAGGGTGTCCAATGAGATTTCTTGAAATATAGTGGTTTGAATAATGATGCCCACTCCCCAAGACTTTCATTGTTAGGGTCCATCTGTTTCCAGATATATGGGGGAGGGGCTCCTTTTATTAAACATCTTGTCAATGTAAAGCCTGGTCTGCACTATATGGACTGAGGTGGCTCTATGTTGAGCCATTACACTAAATCAATACCTAGCATCTGATTGTTTTCTGCAGTGCACACTAACTGTAATGCTGCGATGTGTTGTGTTTTCACTGGCATGCATCACAGAAATAAAGAGAGAAATAAAATGATTAAAAACACTCCTGCTAATCAAACTTCTCTCACTGACTGGATTCGGTTTAGATGTATTTGTATACAGTGTATCGGGTTTTCATGCAGAGGTTTGCAGTAATGTGTCGTTATATTTATTCCAAGGCTGCAACCAAACTAACCAGAGCCAAACAATGACAGCCAGCAGTACACATCAACCCCAGCTGTGTGATGGTACTGGGGAAAAATGAGTCTGAATGTGAGCAGCTATCGTAACGGTGGCCTGTTTATTGTCTAACGTACGCGTTGGTAAATGTCTATAAAGTAGCTGTATCTGTGCAGTGTCCTTACCTGCTGTTAGTGTCTCTCAGGTTCAGTCGCAGAACATTGTGCAGTGTCAGTCTGAAACTGTCAAACAGGTCATTTATTGTTGGTTAAGCCTCTGAAAGCCTGTTACAACCAAACAGACTGTTGTTTTGCATTTTCAAATCTTCAACCGATCACAGACAACACAAGACCCGCCCATGTCGCCGCCCACCTGGAGTAAACAACCAATCAGATCCGCGGGATTCTAGTAAAGATCAAACATTGCTGTCAAGATAATACATCTCACACGTTAGTTTGTTGTTTAAACCTGTGTTTTATTTATCTTTCTGTACTCAGTTTACTCTCTTTGTACCTTACTGTCATAACCTTTTATTTTCTTAAGGCCTTTTGTTGTGAATGAGCATCCGCTACAAACAGTATGATATAATATGATGGTGATAAAGTAGTTGTTTTCATCCTGTCTGTGTTTACTGTATCTGTCCCTATTAAATAAAAGACACGTAAATAAATAAACTGCCTTATGGACGATGGCAGGAAGAATGATAAGTATATACAAACGACTACAAACACTCGTAGCGAAGGCGGAAGTAGGCAGTTAGAGCTGTTCATCGGTTATCTGCACTGAAATAACGACGTAATGGAAATAAAGTACATCGTACATAAGCGTGTGTGTGTTTATTCATTTGTTATTACTAAGCTGTATTTACAGGTTATTACAGAAACAGTCTGTCAGAACAGGCAGAACCATTTATGACATTTGATGTACTGTGGTAGTATTGTTAGTACTTGAGTAAAATATAATTGAGTACTTCAGCCTTTAGTTACATATTAACATCTGTACTGTAAATATTACTGATGCTCTGTAAGTTTCATAATGTTAGTTTTAGGTAAAGGGCCACAAAATGAAATTAGACCTTCACTTTCTAGCTGTAAGGCCCAGTGTTGGGCAGTAACTCATTACTAGTAATACTATTACAGTGATAATAATACTTTTCCCAGTAACTAGTAGTGTAACTAATTACTAATACATTAGTTACAATATTACTTTTGTTGTCAGCCTCTACTGCTTTGAAATCCAACAATCCAATCACATCAATGGATTCATTTTTGTAATCGTGGAGGAAACTAGTTTAAAGGATGGAAACATTCAGCAGCTGGAAATATTCCATTACTTTGATTTTAACAAACAAAACTGGATTTTAATCGTCATCAGTCTGAATTTTGGGGAGAAGGGACGCAATTTTTTTCTAGGGAGTAGCAGTTATAAAATTAATATAACTAGTAGTGTAACTTATTACTGTTGGCAGGGAGTAATAAGTAAAGTAATTATATTACTTCCTGTAAGAGTCATTTTTTTGAGTAACTAGGCCAACACTGGTAAGGCCATAGTGATTATCATAGAGCCACTGTGCAGCATGTATTGCACTAATGAAGCAGATTTACTTTATTAATCCTGAATGGGGAAAGTCTAATATCAATTCTAAAAATTAATAATAATTAATAGTAATTGTAATTAATAATAATCTCACAGCTGTAGGTTTCTCTTTATCTTTATGTGAACACTGGTTATATTTATTTCTAATTTGTGTTGTTTTATTAAAAATGAAAGGTCATTTTAATTTGGAAGAACTTTAAGAAGCCCGAAGCATCACTGAAAATGGACTGAGTTACACAAAGGATGCTTTTTTAAGACTGATGATCTCCCTGCAGCCCTCACACCAATTTTCCAGCACGCAGACTGCTAAATATAAGATACTCCTGCAGGATACTGGTAGAACAGAGAACTGATGAGTGTATTTTTATATACCACAATCTCATATTGTTCTTGTTCATCTGCTATTTATAACGATTCTATTGTTGCTGTGATATTTCTAATCCTTCTAAAATGTCTTGTTGACTGCTATCTTTATCTTTCCTCAGTGTTTACTGCAGTTCAGTATTCCATCATTCAATGTTTTACTGAATATGAGGAGTGGGTGTCTGACAGTGGGAGACATATAGCTTATTGATTTTTACTGTAGCTGTTAGAGGAATTAGAGAGAAAGAAGGCCTATGGTACAAATTCAGCTCACTGTCATCTCCCAGGTGATTGTGTGAGCCTCTGTAAGAGCGCCCTCCAGTGATCACTGGGATGAACTAGTCATATATCATTACTTATTTCTTCCAGAAGATGGCGCAGTTACTCTACTGACGTTGTTATGAAGCTCTAGTCAGACTGAAACAGCCTGTGTGTCAGGGTGTAACTTTATTAAATAAAGTGTGACAGGTCTGATGACACTGTGACCAAATGGCCACCAAATCAACACAGTAACCGTCTTATAACAGGGGGCCAGTCTGAGAACAGTACTTCATTCTTATTCATTCATGCAGTCCTCTTAACTTCAATATAATAAAAATGTCAGTTTAGTTGAGAGGTTGTGCTCCTTATGTTGATTCCCTTACATATTCCCCAAATTATGTAAACACTGGAAACTGACTGTGTGAGAGTCAGTGACCACTGTCCAAAGTTGTGGAAGCACATGCAGATTGGGTGAACTGGACGCTTTAAAATAATAATATGTTTGAATAGGTTTGAATGTGACTGTGAGTGAGCTCATCTACACTGTGTTAGACTGGTGACCTGTAGAGTTCCCTGCAGAGGACAGTTAGATGATCAGCACACATTAGAAACAGCATAAAGTCCTTATATCACTATGCATATTAGGAGCTGTAGTATTCAAACTCTGAATTAAACTGAGCAATGTGACTGGCAAATTGTTCTTCATCACATGTCCAGGTATCTACCTATCCGCATAATCAGACCACACAGTGCCACGGTATGTGATTATAACGTATGGCACTCACGCGTAATTATAATAATTCGCCACTGTTCCTTCCCTCTTTCTTTTCTGCAGGTCAACACCAGCGGATTCCTGCGTGTAGACGCTGTGAGACTCGTGTTATTGTTGTTGTAAAGTGTGTGGGCATGAAGGCTTCATCCTGCGCACTTGAGCTGTGATACGGGACGTGGGCAGGGCCCTCGGCGTTAGCACACCCCTACCGCCTGTGTCAGAGTATTTCAGAACAGAGGCCAGCATTTAGTCATTCTGCATGAAAGCTGCACACGCACTCTTGTCCGCTGAAGTCCACTCTAACTTTTGGACGATAGGAGGATATTTCTGTTTTTTTCGGACCCAGATGATTTGATTTGCTTTTTCCGCTCTTGTAGAAACTGTGCGTTGTGACCAGAGGATACTTTTACGCACAGTTCTTTGACACTCACTAGGACAATGCCTCGATCTTTCTTGGTCAAAAAGTACTTCGCTAAACAAAAGCCAAACTACAGTGAACTGGAATGTCAGAATGGTGAGTTGAGAAGGTTTTTTATTTCTTGTATGAATTATGAAAGTATCCTTACATAAGTGTGCAAACTTGATAGAAAACCACCTGTTTTTTTAAGTGCGGTTGCAAGTTCTTAGTTAAATGTAGCATCATTTTGGATATACACTCTTTTGTTACTTTTTGTGGCTGGTTCTACAAACCCGGCTACTCCCTGTTCAAGTCGGGGCCCGTTATATGCACTTTCCCCCCTTTCTGCAACCAGACAGAGCTCCATTCATGTTACAAGCCCTTGTGAATACGTGGGAGGAAACGGCCCATGAAACCTTCCCATGGCTCCAGCTTTATGCTCATTAACTGCTGAGAAAAACAAGAATGTGTCACCAAAATAACTACAGACAGTAGTGGTGTAGTTGGGGAAGGTTTAGAATAATTCTGATTTTGTTGTTTATTGTTGTACAATTCAATCAAATGTTACTGAACTTTTTTGTGTTCTGGTTGTATGTTTGAACCATCCTTTCCTTTCTGTCTCAGACACTTTACTGGAGAGGTATCCTCTTGCTGAGCTCTCATCAGGGGACAACACCTCCTCTGCCACCTGCTTCACCACAGGTCTGGTGTGGGACCTGAGTGTTCTGCCCGCCCTCTACCTGCCCCCCTCCCAAACAGAGCCCTCTGCCACCCCAGGACCCCTGGACCTCAGCTCCCCGTCCAGCCTCAGCAGTGGCGCCAGCAGTTGTGGAGAGGAGGATGAAGGACGCACGTCAGACCCCCCCAGCCCCGAACCGGTGCACACATATGCCCCTCGCCAGCGGATGAAATGCACTGGCGTTATGCCTCACATAAGTCCCCCTGAGGAAGAGGAGGAGAGGGAGGCCCCCGCCACAGCAGCACGGCCAGCTTTCCTCTGCAAACACTGCCCCAAAGAGTACACCAGCCTCGGGGCTCTGAAGATGCACATCCGCTCACACACCCTGCCCTGCGTGTGCACCACTTGTGGAAAGGCTTTCTCCAGGCCGTGGCTGTTGCGCGGCCACATCCGCACACACACAGGTAAGACCCCGCCAGAGATATTTCCCAACATTAAACATCCTTCCCTTATCTGTCTTATTTCTAATAATTGTTTTGTCATGAGTGTACCTGTTGCAGTGAAACTGTGAAGAGTTGAGAGTTGCTGTCATTGTGAGGCAGCACACAATTACTCCTTGATCATTTTGGCTCTGAAGGAGCCGGACATCCACGACAATCAGTTTGATGAGCTCAAACATCTGATCAGCAGACATTATCACATAGGGAAGCCCTCTGTAGACCCTGCACTCATTGATCAGTCATTGTGTTTAATGTCCCAACAACAATGACTCGTCAGCTAATTATCTTATCATGGGGAAGACACAGGAGTGACAAAGGGTTTAAAGAATGCCTGAAGGCTCTCTGCTATCACTGAGCACTTAGTACCTGCAGCAACTTGTTAGCGTGCTAATCTCATTCTGCTCTGATTGAATCATGCTAATTCAGTCAGGCTTTGACCCACCAGCCCACCATGTGCTTCTTCATTATCTCCAGAATATGTGTGTGTGTGTGTGTGAGTGAGGTGTTAATGGAAGGCTCTCAGGGACGCCTGACTGTTGTCACCGCACGACGACTGCCACATCTAAAGGGAGTGCCAGTAAATTTATATGACGCGTGTTTCCTCCCTTTCTCTGTCCAGGTGAGCGCCCCTTCTCCTGCCCCCACTGCAACCGGGCCTTTGCGGACCGCTCCAACCTACGGGCTCATCTGCAGACTCACGCGGAGGTGAAGAAGTACCAGTGCAGCATCTGCTCTCGCACCTTCAGCCGCATGTCGTTGCTGCAGAAACACAGCTCCTCAGGGTGCTGCTCCACTGCGGTGTGAGACACCACAGAGACAGACAGAGGGGACCCCACTCAGAGCTCAGGGCAGTGGAAGGTCTACACAAGCCCAGCTGGCCTGTTGACTACCTGTAAGGCCACAAAGAGCATGAAATGGCCTGCTTTAAGAGACTTGGAGGGAATCGAGTCTCATTATTGGATCTGAGTTTATGAGCCTTTTAGAGTCTCTGCTCTGTAAAAAAAAAAAAAAAAACATCTGAGGAGCAGATTTTTTTTCTTCCAATCTAGATTGAGGTCTCGAGGCTGGACCAAAACTCAACAGAGCAATGCAGACACTCACTTCATATCAGCCCCTTTGTTGCTATTGTGCCCATTCCAAAGACCAAATATGTAGTGAACTCATTGGGGTAAGAGGTGTTCTTTCCTGTCTCTGTCCTGGTGCCGGCCAGCTCAGGATCATGGCCCAGACACAGCTGCTGAGAGGTAGGGGTGCGTGGGTGGAATAAATCTCTCAGCGTGCCTCACAATACACACACACACACATACATACACACACAAAAGCAAATGCACACACAGCTGTCCCTGGTACTGTGGTGTAGATAGACGAGGTGCTAACAGGTGCTATAGCCATGACCTTCGCTGGTTGATAGCAGGTGACTTCCACTGCCCTTGGTTTGCTTAAGAAGAAAGAGGAAGCATGTCATCACAAAAGAATGGCATCAGTTAGTCTTTTTTCACCAGTGGGGATCATTTTAAGCCTTTATTTTGGCTACATCCAAACCTTCTCTTTAATCTGATGATTTTGAGAGATAGGAAAAGACGTTCTCTCTGTAATTTTCCAAAGAAGCTTCACTTTGCAGCACCGCTGCAGCGCGGATGACAATGTGAGCCATGCACTCAAGGTTACCACAGTGTTAATAATACCAGCCAAAGCCATATTTTGTAACAGAAATGAATTTGTGCCTTGAAATTGTATTGCTTTTTAAAACCAAAAATGTGCCTCTTTTACCTCAGTTAGTATTTGTGGATTTTAAATAAACATTGATCGCAGTATTAGTAGAAATTAGCACCAAACTGTTTGAAATGCAAGAAGGCTGGGACCAAAGATTTTTAAGGTTTACACTATGGAGACACGGTTGTCTAATTTGTGATCAGAACCCTGTAAATGGACAGTACAAAGATGAATTTTTAACTTTCCTAAACATTTTATGGCAGTGTTTTATAGTGCAATGTGCAGATGATGTGTTATTTCAATTTTGTATCATGCTTGTGTGTTCACTTCTATTTCTTGTATGTTGTAACTGATGCATTTTCATTCAATAAAGTAATTTATGTTTATTAAAACTTGCTCCGTCATTGGCATTAGCATAAAAAAGCCACACCTGTACAGTTTTATCTCTTCTGTGATACGATGTGGAAATGGGCGCAGCCGATACGTTGGTTGTAAAAGGACTGTTAGATCATTAACCAAGAGGTTTCTGTTCAGCATCTTGATATTAGGTGTGAAAGGTGTACAGGACATTGTGGTAGAGCTGAATTTGCAGATGTGCAGGTGAACACACTGCATGATGGACGGGAACAACTGATTGCACCTGCTTCCAGTTTCCACCTGCCATCTACTTCTCGCTGTCACTGTGCAAACACTGCTGGTTATGTGAGTGTGAGTGTGTGTTTTGCGTGTACAATAAAAAGAGAACTTGAGCGAGAGTCAACTTCTGTTTTCAATCAATCCCAAGATTTAACATCAGTTCGTATGTGCCCACTAAAGCTCTTAGAAATGATCTTATGGTGGAATTCCAGTAAGCTATATCCGTGATTGCAGTGCGTGTGTGTATATTTTGGTTCCTCCTTAGGGAGAGTATAACATTCTCCTCTTCCTCCGCCTAGACAGTGAGTCAGAGTCTGCCCAGACTGGAGCTTTAGGTTCCCATGGCTCCTCTGCTTCAGTCAGTCAGTAAGTCAGACTACTAGTCTGTCAGTCAGTGAGTTAGTTGTGTAGTGTGCGTGGGCTGAGGCCAGCACAGAGTGAGGTAAGCTGTTCCACGGTACAGATCCTGATTTCCTTCTGAGTCAGGGAAATTTGCTCACACCAGCCAGGACGTCCACTGCAGCATGTAGCACTGACTCACCTCGCACACTCAGTACTTCTGAAACATCTGTGCAAGTACACCAACAAAGTCTAATATGGAACTAATGTAAGAGTCCTTGATTGTGGTTCCTTTGGCCATTATGTTCTCATGTCTTTTACCCAGGATGCTCTCGGATAAAAGGGCTATTAAAATCTCAGCTGTTAGAGGTTAGCTCTGGACTATTTTGATGATGTCAGCTGGTATGTCCTAAGGTGAGGGTGTTAGCTCTGCTAGCAAAGACAATTGAAGTCCCTCATTTAAACTTTTTTCTCAAGTTTTCTTGTTGTTTGACTTTTTCTGATGATTTTCATCTGCACAGTCTCTCTCATCTCCTCATTTTTGTAGGCTACAATGCTGAAGGTGAGGGGTACAGGTTTTATATTCTATAGATTTCAGCACCTCTTGCTTTCTTCTATCTTCCTAGTCTTACGAGGTTACCGTTGCCGCAGCGGCACAGCCTCATTTGGCCAGCATAAACTCGTACATTTCAAATCTTTGCTGCATCACAAGTTACTGTACTTATTTCTGCCTTTTTATAGAGAAATGAAAACACAACACGCTCCCTTTCTTGTTCCTTGGGGAGAGTGGAGGGTCTGGATCTGAAATCTGAGAGCGTTTTCCTGCTGTGTGCTTTACAGTGCCAGAGCACTCACTGTAATTTACCAAAAGTGGCTGCTATTTATGCCATAAAGCATGTGTTTAACATTCCTGAACCCCACTGTGTTTGTGTATTCCTCGCTCTCTCACTCGCTCACTCGCTCTCTCCCACTCACTCTCTTGCCTGCCTCTTCGGCTGTATTTCTATTTATGTGTGTGTGTGTGTGTAGCAAGTGGAAACGGTCCCTACAGAGCAGCAGCCCTTTCCCTCTTCACAGAAGGATCATCTCTCCCCCTCTGAGACAAGGCCGACAGGAAGTGGGAGTTTACTTTGGCCTAGTTTACCCAAAAAAAGCAGCCTGGGTTGAGGAGCTGCTGAGCTCAAGGGCTGTTTCTGCTGCCTGTCGCTGCTGCACTTTGCCACTACCAGCGCCATGTCCCATCCCCCCCATCAGCTGTCCCAACCATGGCTGCTCTCCTAAGCCAAGTTTTTGGGGTGGAGTTGGGTGGCCAGGAACAGTGGAGTGGCCTTCAGTGCAGCAGCAGTTAGGGCTCATGGCCTGGGAGACAGGAAGGAGCTGT